TCTGTTAGGCTGTTAATTTTCTTGAATTTCTGCTGGATCCATTTGTGTCTTATTGTTAAAGCTATTTTTTAGGGCAGGCCTAGATAAGCTTGTATAGGTATTTTGGGCTCCAGATAGTCTTAACTGCTATGCTAACCTGCCCAGTAGGCCCTCTGTGTATTCTAAACCAGAGCAGATGTTCCAAAATCTAAATAGTGACTGAACTTGGCAAAATTTTAACAACAGCGGTTTCTTAATGGGAAACATGATTGAAAACAAAACAAAACAAAACACCAATACCAACTTTCACTTAGGTTTTAAGACTGGCATTCAACATGATATATTAATAGGCAATTCCAACAAAGACTTATAAACTTTAGGTTAGCAAGGGGTAAACTATCATATGGCTGCCATGGTGTGATAGTTCTCTTGTTGATGCTGACATAGACATCGACATTCTTTCAGCTCAGAAGTCAAGAAAAGTTTAAGAGTTGTTATAGGACCTTCTAATATCAGGGAGCCAGATATAATAATATCTTTGCATGTAATAGTAATGCAGGCATGAAAATCTTCCATTGACCCACAGAATAATAATTGTGAGAGGCTTTCGGAATTATGCACATGTAGTGTGATATGGTTTACATTATGTAATATGGTTATGCAATTGTTTAGGCAGTTAAGGTTTAGGAAGGCATTCCTAAATGATTTATTACTCAATAATATCGCTATGTTGGGATATTGTGGAATTTTACCTGCTTTATCATCACAGAGGCGCAGAGCCAAACTCGCATCTGTGTACCAGTGCACAGTACTTTCCTTAAGCAGGTTTTTAAGAAAATCTTAAATCTTAGCCAAAGTTGCATCTGATTCAAATCATATTTTCTCCCTGACGTTGGTTTTAGTACTTTAATGTAGTAGTTGTAGTAGCTGTGATCAGTGCTATTGAAACTTTCAATTCACTTGGGCTCCCCATTATAGCCCAAGGAGCCCCAATGCAGTACATTGACTTGATTTTATGACTGTTCACAGCATTTTACTGCTGAGTTAATTGGGATTCGTAGAGGTTAAGTGACTTGTTCAAGGAGAAAAAATTAGTGGGAGCTGGGACTTAACCCAGATATCCTGGCTCCAATCCCAACAAGGGATGAGTTGTTCTCATTCCTTCATTCATGTATTCTTTCATTTATACGTTTACCAAAGAAAGTATTTACTGAGCACCTATGATGTAACAGCTACCCTTCTAGCTGTTGGCGGTATATCAATAAACAAAACTGATGAGAATCCCTGCCCCTGTGGAGCTTACATTCCAGTGGGGCAGAGGGGAGACAATGGTAGGTAACATAATAAGTATATTCCGTAGTATTTAGGAGGTGATGATGTATAATTGGAAAGAAATAGAGTAGGTAAGGGGAATTGGGAGTCCAATTTTTATACTTTTGGGGGGCAGAAACAAATTGATATTTCAATTTTATATGAAAACTGTATCAAAATTATGGGTCATGTTCTAAACCTTTAAAAGTAGGTGGCTTGGAACACACAATGTTCTGCTCCTCTCCTCCAGCAGTTAAGACTATCTGGAGCCCAAAATACCTATACAAGCTTATCTAGTCCTGCCCTAAAAATAGCTTTAAAAATAAGACACAAATGGATCCAGCAGAAATTCAAGAAAACAACAAAATCCAGAATTCAACAATGAAAATTCCCCACCACCCCAAGAATCAGTGCTGTAAAGGATGGCTAAATTGCAAGATCAACTTAGAGAATCCTACTTATTCATTATGTAGCTTAGCTGTAGTTCAAATCTAATGGTATTACAGACCTAACCAGGCCTTACAACGGGGCTTTTTTCTCCCTCTGGTAAAATGCTTTCCAGGCTCCAGCTGGGAGTCTCAGGAACCTCATCCTTTTATGCTGCTGTTTGAGCTTTGGGGGTAATCAACTCCCCCTCCTTCCATATTATTCAATATTTTGCAGCAGGGACGTCTTTCCATTCAAGCTACTGATGGTGGCTCCTCTATTGCCAGAGGCAGGGGCACTGTTTTGGGAGATTAGTTAAGGGAGGAGGGGATTAGTAACATGGTTTCTGTTCTCACAGGACGTGGGAAGGTTGACAATTGGAAGGAATTGCAAGGAGTCTTAGCTGGGATCAGTGGCCGAAGGGAGGAAAGGGGAGTCTCGGGGAGGGAGGACAGTGAGTTGTGATATTTGTAAGTCCAGGGTGGCCTTTCATCTCCCAGTGTGTAGGTTTGTTTAGACAAATTCCTGAGACAGATTTACCTGGGCCATCTCACATAATTTTTATAAAGCCTGAAATCATGGCCAACTCCAAGTTTAGCTTTTTCCATGCAAGCAACTGGAAGTTTAGAATTTAGTAATAGAGTTTTTTTTTTGTAAAGATAAGATGGATGTAATTTTTATGTATTAGTTTAACAGTATCTTAACAAAGAAATTTTTTTTTTATTTGTGTATTTTATTTTATTTTATTTTTTTTCCCAATGGAATAATGATTTTATTTATTTATTTATTTATTTATTTATTTAAATTTTTTGTTTATTGCAGTAACATTGGTTTACAACATTGTAAAAATTTCAGGTGTACATCACTACACCTCCACTTCTGCACAGATTACATCATGTTCACCACCAAAACACCAACTACAACTCATCACCACACACATGTACCGAATTATCCCTTTCACCCTCCTCCCTCCCCCTCCCCCGCAACCATCGATCCAATCTCTGTCCCTATGTGTTTGTTTGTTGTTGTTATTATCTACTACTTAATGAAGGAAATCATACGGTATTTGACCTTCTCCCTCTGACTTATTTCACTCAGCATAATACCCTCAATGTCCATCC